GAGCTGCTCTGTCCACATCTCTTAACTCTGATAGAGGCCAATGCTGTGTCCACATCAAGTACCGCAGGACCGGGAGTGTATACTGATTAGTTGCCTGTACACGATTACAATCAGACATGGGGCTGGACCATATAACAGATATCCTGCGTAAATACTCTTTAGCCGCGCACGCTAGGGCCAGCAGTTCATCCTGCCGAACGTTCTCTAGTACCCCCAGGAATTTGTAGTGTTTTCCTTCCCCAAGAGCCGAGATGGTAGTTGTCCCGTCCATCCTAATACCAGACCCATCTAGCACTTGGGCTCCCCTCTTCACGTGTACCACTGAGCACTTTTTCTGATTCCAGTGGAGGCCGATATCCTGCATCGCTCCTCTAGTCTCCTTCAGCACTCGGTTCAGCTTGCTCTCGGAGGCAGCAAAAACCTTCAGGTCGTCGATATACAGGAGACCGGTGACTTTGACTCCTATAGGCTTGGATAACCGGTATCCCTCCGTTGCCCGCAGGCGCCACGCCACTGGGTTCAGGCACAGTGTAAACAATCTAGGACACAAAGCGTCCCCCTGGTATAGTCCCTTCATGAACCTTATGTTTCTGGAAGTTTCTCGCCCTTCCCTTGTTGTAGCTACCACTCTAGTATTCCAGCTCGCGCACAACTTGCGTATAACCTCACCCAGCCAGATGGGAAACCTGTGTACGTCAGTCATTGCGCATAGCCAATCATGGTCGACGGAGTCGTAGGCTTTGCGCACGTCAATCCATGCCATGCTTAAATTCCGTTTGCCTCTCTGGCAATCCAGCATTACTGCTCTATCGATTAGCAAGTTATCCATCGTACCGAAACACCCTGATTTCGCTCCTCTTTGCTGGCCTTCCATCAGATCGTAATGATCAAGGTGACGGTCCATGGGTGCCAGAAGGCAAGATGTAAACCACTTATACATGTTATTCAGACAAGTAATAGGTCTTTGATTTTCACTCAGGAACTCGCCTTCTTTTGGAATGAGAGAGGTTTTCCCTTCAGAAAACCACTCGGGGTAATCTTCGTCACTCTTAGAAACTTCTTTGAAGCTCTCGACCACACCCTTGTGTAGGGTGATAGCATGTTTCCACCAACAGTTAGTGATTTTATCAGGCCCTGGCGCACTCCAGTTGCGCTTCTTGGACAGGACTTTGACCGCTTCCGCTACTTCGAGAGCCCATTCGTCGCCTGTCGGTGGTGGTACTTGCTCGTGGATCGCGATCTTTACTTCCTGCAACCAGGCCGCGTTCTTATTCCCAGTCCCTCTCTCTTCCCACAGCTTTCTCCAAAACCCGCTCGCCTCTTCAATATTTTCAAACACTCGCGAGTCATCTCGAGCACGTTTTCCAGGATCTTTATATCTTGGTCGCTCATTCTCTGGGTCCCTCTTCAACATCTCACTCAAATTCGCAAACACTCTTCCAGGGACCGTGTTAAACTGCTGGTTAATCACGCGCGAGACCTCTTGATTCTTTCTCCCGTCAAACCCACGTTTTAACTTTCGGAGCTCCGACTTTTTTTTCTCCATGTAGCTAATCAAACCTGCCACAGAGATGGTTTTGCATTCTTTTTGTAAGTGAGACCTATTTTTCCTTCCTTTTTCTTGTGATCTTTCTATTTTCTTTCAACCTTTCGATTTCCGCTTTCGCGATTGACCGTTGTTTTCTGATCTTCCCTGCCTCCTGTTCGTAAATTCTTTTAAGCTTTTCCTTTCTGTCCTGCGGTTTGTCTGTCTTTATTGGCCCTTGTTTAATTTTTGCATCCTTTCATCAACAAAAAAGCGCAAACCACCGAGTAAAGAACGCAATTAGCTAACCACAGAAAACCAAACGGGTTCTGCGTTGGTGTTACCTCGTAGCGCTCCATTAATAACTTAATCGCTTGGTTGATTTCTTCCAAGTGTTTTGTTGATGGCGTTTCTTTTGTCCTGGTGTCAATGTCACGTTGGGAATAATCTACAGGGTGGGTGCTAATTGTCATTATTATTATTAAGAACGAGAGGCGTTGCGTTTGAACTGGTGGGCGAGAAAGCGCGCGGGGGACAATTTCCCGCCAATTTTCTCCTCCCATATCACACCCGTGTCCTGTTTATTTTATTCTTGAAATACCTAAATACCTAGGCCTAAATCCCCTTCACCGGCGTCTTTGTCTGATCGTACTGTAATCCTGAAACGAATCACGTACCACAAACTCAATTTTCTGTCGTCTGAAGATGTTAGCAAGGTTGAAATGAACTGACGGCTCGTCAGAAATGTGGTTTTTAATTTATCTGATCACAATTATCGCTGGGCGTAAATTGTCTGCAGTGCAGTGAAAAACTTTACCTTTTTTAGCTTGCGTACTGTGTCTCATTGTATGCAAATTTTCTTGCCATATGTCATCGTTTGTTTCTTTAAGTTAGTTAATTATTCTACATTTAGTCTAAATCACACTGCTGATTCAACGGTTTATTACTTCTGAAGATGAATGTTGGAACATGTGAAACATCAAGTTGAAGTCTTTTTTAGTTCTTTCCAGAAAGACGTTTAAATTTCCTTATGTTTAGAGCCGCAGTTTGCTTTGTTTCTTCTTAAGCTAAGATGGCCAAAAAACAAGAAAATATTGCCAAACAGCGAAGGCTCGCGTTCGCTTTGGATGCAGTAATCTCATACTTTTAGCCCGCCTTCGGACCCTTACGAGTACGATCGGCTCCTGCACGCAGAAAGCTATGATTGATAAATCGACTGTTAGAGGTTACAGTCATCGATCGAACTTTGTATTAATAATCCAACTCGTGATCATAATCACGGGTCGAGGTGGAAATGAATCCGAATTGAGCCAAGGGAGTGGCGCGCGAGCCAGGGGAGGGGGGGGGGGGGTACTTGGGTAAATGTTTGCTGGGTATGTGCCGGTGGCCTCTCAGGGGCCCCTACCCCATTATAGTCTATTTTTTGGCCAATTATAGACCCCAAATAGTCACTTTTTGGAAAATGTAATTTTTGCGATCCCAACTTAGTCACTTTCTATTTATGCATCTACCTTGTCAATAGTGGTTTCAAGCAACGGAATGCAATGCGGTTAGTGCGAGCTTATTGTTAAATTTAGTAAACAACAAGTTTCTGTTTTTTTCACCGAGAATTTTCCGATTTTGAATCCCTACTTACCCCAAAAATCCGAAAATTTGCGACCCCATTCTAGCCAATCCAGTTGTGAAAATGCAACCCCATCCAGCGACACATCCCCATTAACCTTTTGTAAGGGAGTACCCCCCTCCCCCCCAACTCGCGGGCGCGCGAGAATTAAAAAACCTTGTCACATTTGTTTGACCCATGTTTGACTTACGCAAAAAGTGAAGTTGCATGCCACACGGCTCCTCAGCTCTCTTTCGGCTAGAACTGACGCAGGTAGCCAGTAAGGAAGTTCGTTTTTGTGACGGTGTGATAAATACTAGGTCAGGTTAGCTACTACCTTATGGACCGGATCGATAAGTGCCGAGAGCGTGCGTGACCACAAACCAATCTCGCTCCAGTTGTTGAAAAGGTAGTGTGCGGGGAACAGACGCTTTTTTCGGAGGGAAAGAGGCGACGACCGGAAATACGTCTGCGGCTCGCAGGCTATTCAAAAGGTGGATAGCGCTATCCACTGGATAAATTTCGATCCACTCGATAACGCAGTTGGAAAGCATAACACTTATCTGCTGGATACCGATTTATCCGGTGGATAGCGCTATCCAACGTTTGAACAACCGGGGCCTGAAGGACAGGAATTGAAAAGGACGCTTTTTTTTTCCTGTATGAACTGAACTACATTGGAACCTCGATTTAACGAACCTCTATTTACCAAAAGGGAACTTAAGAACCGCGACGACGACCGGAAGTGAGTTTCAGTGTACTGCGCAAGCGCGACCAGTAAATTTCGTCGTCGTGGTGTCGTCGTCGACGCCAAAAAAAGTACAATCACGTCGTCCTGCAATTCACAAGCTTCGGCAGGTATAAATCCACTGTTTTAAGCGATTTTTGATGTCCTTTGTTTTTTCTTATCCTCGCAAATCCAGGTATCGTTCCTTTTTTCTCCTAACAAGCGATGTTGATTGAAAATTCGACTAAAACTGTACTATAATGAATTGTTTTGACTTCGAAGAATGACAACAGCTGTGAAAGCCGAGCGAGCGAACTCGCAAGTAAGAAATTTACTTGTACCTATTTAGGTAAGGCAAATCATAATATAGGGGAAATAAACTTTATATGGAAAACAGCTATGACATGTATCAGAATGTCTCTTTTTCCAAATCTAAACTCTGACAGACACTCGGACTCGTTCATCTCATTCAGGTTGAAAGTTGAATAATCTTTGTGCAGAAGGAAGGCGTTTTTCCACTCGAAAAGGTCAGACAACATAAAATATTCTTCATCGTCAAAGGAATTAGACGTTGTTTTAAAAGACGCCATTCCAAAAACCGTTGTTACGAAGGAACATCACAGTTTTACGTTTGTGTTTACATTCAGTGTCGTCGTCGTCGACCTACCGACCGACTGCATCTTCAGTTTCCTTTTTGCCGCCGAAACTGACGTTCTCGTTCCAGTCTTTTCCCAGTCAACAGACGTTGTCGTCGTGAACTTCGTCGTGGTTCTTAAGTTCCCTGTTGTACAACATGCAACAACCATAGTACGCTTGGTCTGCCTGTCAGATCAGCTGGCCTGTTTTTGTTTTTTGTTTTTTGTTTTCCTCCCGCGTGAGAGTTTTGGCTGTGAAGCTGCAAGGGAATTTCAAAACCTCTCCTTCCCTTCCCCAAGCCGAGCGGCTTTGCAGCTCCTCTGCCAAAACTTTGTGCGCGCTTATGATCCCGCTGACTACTACTTCTACGGTTTTTGTTATATGCTTCTACTTTTACTTCACCGCTTCAAATTTTTTTAAGATTGCTTTCTCGATAATCATTACTAGTTAACTGTTTATAATCGTTTGGTCTGAAATTGTCTGATTATTGGGGAAGCTCCTTCTTCATATTAATAACCACTAGCTTCAGGGGGAACGTTGTAATACGGATGATTTTCATCATGTTTGTTTAGATCCAAGTATGGTGCATCCCTCTGCATTATCACCTCCAGTCTTTCGATCAGCTGAAAGAAACTGGGACGAGAGCGAAGTTCCTCCTTCCAACAGTCAGTCATCAGCTCATATCTGTTATGAATAAAAAGAATGCAACAGTTTAAGTTAGTCAGAGTTCCAATCCATTATTACATACATAGAAACCGTTTCTATTTGACGTAAGTCACCCCGATTTAGTAGAATAGTTTTTCCTTTAAACCAGCTGGCAGCCACTCACGGCGGATCATTAGGCTTGTCGGTTTCTTGCCTAGCTTGCGAGAAAGCTCTCCACTTAGGGCGATCTCGTGAGAAGTACACACGCGAGCGGCACGCGAGAGAAAATACAACAGCGATGGGACCCTCGTGTGGCGGATGGTTTTGGAATGGTTTGCTGGAAATGTTGTTTAAAGTTTTCCAAGTTGAAAGACTTAGCCAACATCGCCAAATTTTGCTAATAAAGCTGTTACCAGGTAAGAGAAAAATACCTAGTTTTAATCAATTACCATAAGGAAATATCGAACATGGAGAAAAAAATCCTTGCAGTCGATCTCTGTTAAAGTGTTAACACTATCATATTGCTGTATGAAACAAATATTTAAGCTAAGATTTTGCCGTCCGTCTGTTCAGTAATCAATAGGGAGTTTAAGATACGGAGACTACGGACTACGAACTACGGCTGGACGAGCGTTGTCCTTTTTTCGTAGCACTGGGTTGAGTCGTGCAAATATAGAACGTTAAGATTGCACTACAGACAATAGACTACGACAGAAGAGGCGGAGAGGGAAACAACACCCAAAGATCTTCTTGTTTTTATCGCAGTTCACAAAAATGCAAGTCAGTTTTGCATGTGATCTTATCTTTAGAACAATGAACAAATTCTTCCATACTTGAAGGAAGCAATTACGTCGGGTGAAATTGGTAAACAAAGTTTTGGTTACACAGGTTTTATTTTTCGCCATGAATAGTTATGTCAAATATGAAAGATATAGACAGAAATAGTAATAGCTCATTTATTAGATTTAGAAGATGGACTTCTCCGACTACTGATCTGATGTAGTTTGAAGTACTGAAATGCCGAGTTTCGATTGTCTCGAGCATGTTTACATCATTTTCATTCAGCAAATGGCGCGATACAAAAAATTCGCATAAATAAAGGTTACACAAGTACAAAGACTCACTAATCAGTTCGAACAAACATTGAAACTTTTCAAGTGCGAAGAGAAAGTAAATTACCTGCATGAGTTCTCTTCTCCTAGGCCGTCAATCTGAATTCTGCGTATAAACAGCTAAGCTTATAAAATTTACGGTCACAACAGTGGATTAAAAGCGTAAATCTGAGCAGAAATTAGACACAACTTACATATTTCGCTCCCCTCTCACTTACAGCAGGTGAATTGAAAACTTTTTTACGAAAAGACGAAATTCTTGAATTACCGAGACGGCAAAATACGAGCAAAATGTTCTCCGTAGTCCCGACTACGCGAAACAGCTCCACAACTCACCGTAGCCGCAGGACAACGCGGGAAAAATGAACAGTCACGTGGTTTTGATCATGCGCAGTAGCATATTTATCCGTAGCCGTAGTCCGTAGTCGCCGTATCTTAAACTCCCTAACTTGATCGAAAAAAACGTCAAAATCGCCAGCCGAGTTGTCTTCTACAACGTTTATCGCTATTTATAGCTAAAAAGACGCACGGAAAAATCGAATCTATCTATCGGAGCACATGTCAGGCCTTTCCATGCGATAGCCAGTGCCAAGCAGTCGATACAACTCTGAGTTGGCCAGCGTGGGGTATGGTACGCCTCCTGATCACTTTGTGCGAAAGAAAAAATATACATGTTATTTTGAAAACAGGGCTCACTCCCCTGGACAGCTTTCTACTGGAAATGTCAACGCCGACGACTCTTCATTCCTCCGCACTCAATAATACAGTTTTGCAAAAGAATAGTGATTGAATAGGGGTCAGAGTTGCATTTAAGTGTAAGAAAGAACGAAAGAAAGAAAGAAAGCAGGGTGCTTAGTAATAAGGCTCCTCTTTCTGGGAAACAACTAGTACGTGCATATTTTATGCCGATTATCACTTATGATTTCAGACAAGAGCTTCGTTCAAAACAAAAACGCCTGCTGGCTTGGCACATATAAAACTCATCAGGTATCAGCCTATTAAGAGTCCCAGTGTCGTCCTCTCATATCAGTTGCACTTCAAGTCATATCCCCCGTGGTAACAGTGAGGAGAGTTCTTGGGATGTCACTCCCCTTGGAAGGTAACATAATCAGTGTGTGACGGTCTACTCACCCAATGTAGCCATCTCCCAAAGAACAACACCGAAAGATCAACTATAGAGAAAAGCACAAAGGCCATAAATATATCCACTGCATAAACACTATAAATTTTTCTTCTCTTCTTTTTACTTGATGAACTTAAGGGGAAAAGGGTGTGCCTCCACTTTTTCGTGCCTTCGCGCGTGACTGAACCCTATGACACCAGGGGCCCGTTTCTCGAAAGTCCCGATAATTAACGGGCCCGTAAAGCTGTTGTTGTTTACATGCAAGGTAGTAGTTTCAATAGTTTTTCATCTAGCATGATAAAACTATCAGTTAATGAAACACAATGGAGTAGTTTGCTAGCCAGAACCCGCGCTCTTCTTCTTTTCGATTTGAAAATTTGATTTCGGGCCCGAAAAGTTACCGGGACTTTCGAGAAACGGCCCCCAGGCCTCAGACGCTCAAAGCCCTTAGTAAATGGCCTAACAAGGTTAATAGAGTAGGGAAATCAATACCAATTTACGTTACGCGTCTGTCGCATATTCGTAAACTTTTCCTGGCAAAGAAAAGCTTCTAAGTGATCTTTACATACACTCTGATTTAAGAATTCAACCGACCCCGCTCTCGCTATTGAATGTGAAAACTATATATAGTCCTGAGTCAAAATTGCGCTGACAAGTACGAAATTACCCACTATATTAACCACCGGAATTCTAGATCGGTTTGAATTCAACTCACTGATCACGATTTTTAGGGTAGCTGAGGTTTTCTGAGCAGCAATGTATCGAAATATGTTTAAAAGAGTGGGAATCTTTTATACGTACACCTCACTTTTGGTAGTGTAAAGGCCTTGATAGAGTGATTCTGGGGCCATCCATTTCACAGGAAGTTTTTTGGACTTCGCTGAGCTGCTCACATCTTCATAGATTTGTCTCATCAACCCAAAGTCTGACACTTTGATTTAGTTGTCATGGCCAACAAGAACATTACGGGCAGCAAGGTCTCTGTGGACAAGATTGTTTCGGCGAGATGATTCTAATTTTAAGAAGGAAGGGAAAAAAAATGAAAATAAGTACCATAATACTTCAGTTACAGGGCTATTACAGCCTAAAAAGGTATGGGTGAAGGCGAGAAAATTAGGGGCAAACAATTACTAAACTAAATTACTAAACGAAAAATACTAAACTGAACTGATCTGAACGACTGATTCAAGATTATACGAAACATGCCAAATTTGGTTCGATCGACTAAGACAATTTCTCCACTAAAACTAATTTGACATTCTAATGAAAAAAATCAAATCATTCTTCACCTAGAAAATTAACCCATTTGTCCTTTATTTCTTGCTTATGAAATAGCCTGAAACCGATCTTTGAATGATGAAGACAGAAACTGAATCCAAGCAACGTCGCTCAGAAAATAATCATATAGTAATTACTGTTAAAGCGAAACTTCTAGAACTTAGGGTTTTCTTTGTTTTTCTTGTTCGCGTCTACTTGCAATTAGTTGTAATTGTTTATAGTTTTCTTTTGTTATATTGTTTGCTTTCTTTTTGGTGCCACCATCGTTGCATAATGTTATGTAATCTGTCAAGTTTTTTGGTATAAACTTAGTCTTGTCGGTCAGTGTTTTTTACAGTTTTTATCGGTCAAGAACAGCTCATTCCTTTTAACGTTAAGTCAAGAAACCGTTAAGGTAAATTTTAGTCATACGCCATTTGTACGCTTTTCCGTTTTCTTTGATGTATTTGTTATTTCGTACTGATTTCTACATTTTTCGTAATTTCGTATTCTTTGTATTTTTGGTTGTACAGTACCGTAGGAGTGTGATTTCTAAAATAAAGCGGTTGGACACTAATACGCGTGACTTCGGTTACATAGTACTTAACGATCGACTTTGGTAAAAGTTGGCCGCTCTGGTTGGCGACAGATCAAAGGAGTTCCAAGTTGAAATTACCATTAACGATGGCTTCGGTTGGTGAAAGAGACAGCTTGGGACGGACGATTATAGCCTACCGTGGACACATTACGCGGATTATAAATGAATTAGATCCGCTACTCTTGGAGAAAATTTCTTCTAAAGAAGTTGTTGAAAAGCACAGTTCGCTGGTGAGCATATTCGAGAAGCTTAAACGGGCTTGTGCGCAGTGGTATCATTTGTCTGGGGAGCAAGAGGATAGAGAGCGTATTACTCATGACTACGCCAAGGATGTTTATCGAATGCAGATGTTTGAAAACAAATACAAGGAATGGTTAAACGATGTTTACACCCCAATAAGTCGAGGAGTTTACGGTGAAGGAATTGCGAATATTTCTGGGTTTGATTTGAGCTCCAAAACGCCTGTTGTACGATTAGAGGGTGCCTTTCAAGGAACTCAGAATACAAATCCTTCAGTTTCCCACGCGGGCACGCGTAGTGATTTATTGGAAACGAAAACACCTAATGCGACTCAAGACCATGTAAGTGGCGGCGATAAGACGCCAAGTCAATTACACTCAAGGAAAAAGAGTTCTAGAGGAGGGAGTCAGTTATCGGCACGGAATGTCAAGTGTACAATGGCTCAGCTTAAAGTGAAAAGGCTTCTGGCTGAACAAGAGATAAAGGAAAGTGAAATTGCGTTACGACTACAAGAAGAAAATACGCGTTTGTCAGCCGAGAAGGAACGTTTGAACATTCGAAGCGAATTAATGTTAGCCAGGATTGACGCAGAACAGGCTGAGATTGAAGCCAAACTGGGGGAGCAGGTTGATTTTGACTCTGTTTTTTCTTCCGAAGGATCAGTTAGAGGTCACGAGAACGTGAGGAAATATTTGGAAGGATTGTCACTTTCCGCCGTTCCTGGTCAACCGGATGCTGAGAAATGCGTTTTACCGGAAACCAAACCGCACGCTTTACCGGAAGTGAAAGCTAACATACCGGAAGCGAAGAATGTTACTGGAAATAGCACTGACGAAACAACGGTTAAATTTCAAAGGATTATGGAGCAACAGCAGATGTCTATCGATAAAGTTGTTCTTGGACTTGAGAAGTTGGACATGCCAAAGCGGGAATTCTTGTACTTTGATGGCGATCCTTCAAGGTACCCCAGATTTATTAAGAATTTTGAGCTAAACGTGGAATCTTCGATTACAGATGACAATGTAAGGCTATCTTATCTGATCCAGTATTGCACTGGCAAAGCTAAGGAGGCAATTGAAAACTGTGTAATTCTGCCAGGGCCTGAAGGATACAAAGCTGCTCGTGAAATTCTTAGAAAGAATTTTGGACAACGTCATGTCATCATCCGATCGTTCATCGATAAAGTTGTCAAAGGACCACAGCTAAAATCTTCTGATGGAGAGAAACTCTTACAGCTCGCAAGGGACATGCGAATCTGTTTGCTGAATTCTGCGGAATTAAGCTATCAAGCCGATATAAACTCTTTGGACACTCTGAAGAAGATCGTTATGCGTCTTCCTGTTCACATGCAGGGAAAATGGGCGGATGAGTCGGGAAAGATTTTGGAAATGGGTTCTGAACCAACCTTCTCTCATTTGGCAGACTTTCTCGAGAAAAGGGCTCTGATAGCAAACACTGAGTTCGGGAAGTTAGTTGGATTCAAGCTTGGAGAGTCAAGAGTCACAAAACAACCAAGAAAAGCAGCTGATGGTGATGGTACTGTGCTTGCTTTGACTCAAGTTGAGAAGGATGTTAGTAACCAAGCCAATGCAGCCAACAGCAAACGCTCAAATAAGAGGTCAGCAACGGATGGTCAAGCTAAATGCAAGTTTTGCGATGGAAGACATGAATTGGAGAAGTGTTTTAAGTTCCGGGACAAACGATATATTCAAAGGAAGGACTTTGTTAGGAAACAAAATCTGTGTGAAAATTGTTTGAAGCCTAATCACATCGCTAGACGATGCAGGAGTCTTGATGCTTGCTTGCTGAGTGGCTGTAGAGAAAGGCACCATTCCTTGCTGCACCCACCTAATTCATTGAGCGCTCCCATAGCTTCAAATGAGACTTCAAGAACGCGAGGTGATTCTGAAGATCCTGTTACCCGGCCAACAGCGACTCGTGAAGATCTGGCTGAAGCAAGTCCACACCACATCGAGGCCGGGGCGGATTATGCGACAAATACCGAAAAAACAGAATTAGTTTGAGGATTGTGCCCGTCCGAGTTTCTGCTAAAGGTGGACGAGAAGTGGAGACATATGCTTTCATTGATGATGGTTCTGACACCACCTTGTGTCTACGACGCCTTCTGGATGAGTTAGGAGTAAGAGGTTCTCCAACGTCATTTTCTTTAACTACCATTAATGCCGAGAGAACCAAACGGTCTGGAGAAGAAGTTAGTCTTACTGTGAGAGCATTGTCGTCAGATGAATGCATACAACTAGATCGTGTGTGGACTGTTGACAAGTTACCTGTCTCAAAGAAAAGCATACCCAGCACCGAAGATATCCGCGATTGGCCGCATCTGCAGGGTATAAGTATACCTAAGCTCGATAAAGAGGTATCCATCTTAATCGGCAGTGATGTTCCCGAGGCGCACTGGGTCTTTGAACAGCGCCGTGGTCGCCGTAAACAGCCTTGCGCTGCACGAACATTACTTGGTTGGACACTTATCGGACCAGTTGGCGGTTCAAGCAACCCTGAAGCGACCGTCAGTTTCTTAAGTGGAGGCCAAGAAACGCTGTCAGCACAAATTGAGCGAATGTACAACGCGGAGTTCGGCGAATCGTCTGCGTCATCTAAAGAAATGATGTCGATTGAAGATAGAAGAGCCCTGGCAATAATGGAACGAACCGTTCAGATGGTCGATGGCCATTATCAGCTCTCCCTTCCTTGGAAGTATGATAATCCGTGCCTACCGAATAACAGACCTATGGCCGAAAAAAGACTAAATCTTCTGAAAAGACGTTTGGAAAAGAACAAAGTTCTCCAAGAGAAGTACAAGGATGCTGTTGGAGATTACATTGCACAAGGTCACGCGAGGAAAGTATCTCTACATCAAGTGCCACGTTTTGTCTGGTATCTTCCCCACCATCCTGTGATACACCCGCAGAAACCTGAGAAGACCAGAGTTGTGCTCGATTGCGCCGCTAAACTTCGCAATACGTCACTCAACGAACAGCTGCTTCAAGGGCCAGATTTAACCAATAATCTCGTCGGAGTACTACTTCGTTTTCGTCAAGAGCAAATAGGTCTTACGGCCGACATAGAGAAGATGTTCCATCAAGTGAGAGTGTCTCCGCAAGACACTTGCGCTCTGTCATTTTTGTGGTGGCCTGGTGGCGATCTTTCTAAAGAAGCAGAAGACCATGAGATGCTTGTTCACCTCTTTGGAGCTAAATCATCTCCTAGCTGTGCAAGTTTTGCATTAAAGAAAACCGCAGAAGACAACAAGACGGACTTCGATGTGGAAACCATCGATACGGTTAATAGGAACTTCTACGTTGATGACTGTGTTAAATCGGTCGCAACAACTGAAGAGGCGGTACGATTAGTTGAGCAGCTGCCAGAATTGTTGAGTAGGGGAGGCTTCCGCTGAACAAAGTGGATCAGTAATCGTCGAGAAATCTTGTCCTCGGTCGCTAAGGAAGACCTAGCACCGTCAGTGAAGAACCTTAACCTAGACTTAGAAGATTTACCGTTAGATCGCGCCCTTGGTATGCAGTGGGACACGGAAGAAGACACCTTTGGGTTTAGGACCATTCCGAATATTACAGCCAACACAAGGAGAGAGATTCTTTCTGTCACCTCATCTCTATATGATCCTCTTGGCCTAGCTGCTCCAGTTATACTTCCAGCTAAACGACTGCTTCAGAAGTTATGCAAAGACGAGCTTGGTTGGGATGACATAGTCCAAGAAGACGACCTTCTGCATTGGCAAGATTGGACAAGGGGCATCATTGGTCTTACCGAAGTAGCCATACCACGTTGTGTGAAACCGAGAGATTTTGGCGAGCTCAGTTCCATCCAGCTGCATCATTTCTCAGATGCCTCGGAAGAGGGATATGGGGCTGTCTCATACCTGCGCTTAACTGATGCACTTGGTAATATCGCCTGTAGCATCTTACTGGGAAAGGCAAGAGTTGCTCCACTGAAGACTGTGACAGTACCACGACTGGAGTTAACGGCTGCCACAGTCGCTGTAAAGCTTCACAAGCAGATCAAGGAAGAACTCACTTTGCCTATACATGAAGTGACGTTTTGGACTGACTCTACTATTGTCTTGCAGTATATCAACAACAGTCACACAAGATTCCAGACATTCGTCTCCAACCGGCTGGCAACGATCCACGATATCTCTACCCCGTCTCAGTGGCGTCATGTTAGCTCTGATCTGAAACCAGCAGATTACGCGTCTCGTGGGTTTAATTCTCATGAACGTACCAAACTGAAGATTTGGCTCGAGGGACCAAGATTTTTGTTGAAGGACGAAAGCCAGTGGCCAAATCAGCCAACCCAGCTTCCTGAGATTGATGAAAATGACCAGAACGTCAAAAGATCGAAGAAAGTCCAGACGCATGCTGTTATGCAAGATCAAGGGTTTGACTCGTTGGTTTATCACTACTCTTCGTGGTATGGTTTGAAAAAGGCTCTAGCTTGGCTGAGCCGCTTCAAGAATTACTTGCTGTATCGCTCAGGGAAGATTGCAAAAGAAGACGTCAAAAGAGGAGAATTATCCGTCCGCGAAATCCAAAACGCTGAAGAGGAGGTCATTAAGTACATGCAAAGGCTGTTCTTTCCGAGGGAGTTGAATGCACTGATGACTGAAGCTCAGCAACGCCGTAGTATCTCTAGAGTGTCGGGGAAACGCCTTAGTGACGGTTCGTACGTCAGCCCACTGCGCAACCTCAGTCCAATAGCTGTTAATGGGTTAATCAGAGTTGGTGGTCGTCTTAATAATGCAGAGGCTATCGATTGTTTCATGAAGCATCCAATAGTTCTACCAACCAAGCATCACGTAACTGACCTGATTATTCGCCATTATCATCAGATAGGCCATGTAGGATCAAGTCAAGTTCTTGCTGCAATTAGAAGGAAATTTTGGATTTTGAAAGGGGGTTCAGCCGTCAGACGAGTGTTCAGCAAGTGCATCAAGTGTAGAAGATGGAACTCAAAGCCGGAAGCACAGATTATGGCTCCGCTACCTATGGCTCGCGTCACGCCTGGGGATGCACCGTTCACCGCGGTTGGAATTGACTACTTCGGACCAGTGCCAGTCAAGTTGAAGAGAAGTCGAGTTAAACGATATGGGTGCATTTTCACCTGCCTAACAATGCGAGCAGTGCATATTGAGGTCTCTCAAGATTTGACGACTGACTCGTTTCTGATGGCGTTTTCAAGATTTGTCAGTAGGCGCGGTGCACCAACAGAAGTTTACAGCGATAATGGTACCAACTTTAAAGGAGCAGAATGTGAGTTGAAGAAAGCTCTTAAAATGTGGAATCAATCACGCATCACAGAGAGTTTACGCAAGCGCAGTATTCAATGGTACTTCAACCCCCCACAAGCAAGTCACCAAGGAGGGGTCTGGGAGAGAATGATTCGCTCTGTTCGCAAGATACTGCGCACTCTCCTGGGAAACCAAACAGTGAATGACGAGACCCTTCTCACTGTTATGGCAGAGGTAGAGAAAATCCTGAACGACCGCCCACTCACAA